GTTCAGTGTGTGTATACTCTGGGGCCCTTCCGCTCTCCTTTGGCTTCTTGGCTTGACTACTGCTGCAATACTCTTCTAGGGGTTAATCCCTAAACCCTAACAAAACCCAATAAAGTATTTTTTAAAAAAAGAACTGGGAAGGGTCAGGGCACAAAAGAGACTGCAGTCTTTTGAATTCGACTTCCTCTTCTTGGTGAAACGCTCTGGAGGCCAAAGACTCTGCTAAGAAACCAGCCTGGGAGGAGACGGCCGAACCGAAGCGACTCACCTGCCTGGACGGCCTTATGGGACATCCGCTTGCTGCTCAGGGCCCGGCTCGGTCCATGGGAGCTGCCGAGGCTCGAGACAGAATCGGAGGACGTGAAAGACGGGCTGGGCTGAAAGACAAAAAAGGAGGATGAAGGTTTGAGAGGATGGGGTGAGGTTTGAGGACAGGAGGAGGCGGAGGAGCAACTGTGGGGTCCTTGGTGCTCTCTGAGATTGGTGGTTCCCTTGCAGACGTCTCATTACCACACTAGGTAATGTCATCAGTCCTAGACGGGAATAGTTTTCTGGAGAGGAGGAGGGGGAGTAATAGGAGAACTGTGGGGGCCTTAGTGCTCTCTGAACTTGGCTGTTCTCTTGCAGACGTCTCATTACCCAACTAGGTAATGTCATGAGTGCTAGAAGGGAATGGTTTTGTGGAGAGGAGGGAGAGGAGGGAGAGGAGGGGGGAGGGAGAGGAAGAGGAGGAGGAGAACTGTGAGGGCCTTAGTGCTCTCCTGGGCTGTTTTCTTGCAGACGTCTCATTACCCAACTAGGTAACATCATCAGTGCTAAACTGACGATGTTAGCTAGTTTGGTACTGAAACATTTGCAAGAAAGCCACCAAGCTCAGACACCATCAAGGACCTCACAGTCCTCCCTCCTCCCCACAAACCCCACTCCCTTCTAGCCCTGATAAGGTCACCTAGTTGGTCACGAAACGCCTGCAACAAAACCACTCAATACTCTCAAGAATATTGACAGGGCAATATATATAAATAGAGAAGAAACACCCCCCCCCCCCCCATCTCCCTTCTGGCACTGATGGTGTTAGTTATTTTGGTAATGAAATGTCTGGAAGAAAACCAAGCGCAGAGAGCACCAAGGACCTCCCAGCTCTCCTCCTCCCTATTCCCTCCTAGCACTGATGATGTTACCTAGTTGGGTCATGAAACATCTGCAAAAAAAAACAAACCATCAACCTCAGAGAGCACCAAGGACCCCACAGTTATTTTCCTCCTCCTCCTCCCTGTAAACCCTCCTCCCTTCTAACACTGAGGATGTTACCTGGTTGGGTCATGAGAGGTCTGCGAGAAAACCACCCAGCTCAGAGAGCACCAAGGACCCCTACAACCCTTCCTTCCTCCCT